TGCATAAGGTCAGTGAGCCTGAGCACAGTACGTTACAATCCTTCTATATGGTATTCTAATAAATGTCCATTTATGAAGGTATTGAAATAAATTTTTAATGAAAATTTCTGGGAGATGCCTTTTTCTTTCTCCAGAGAATAGTAGACCAAAATCCTTAATCCCAAATGCTTGTCTTCCAGTATTTGGGAGAGACTGAGTAAACGGAAGAATCGACAGGCTCTGAAGGTAGAAATTAACTTCTCTGCAGCCTTCCAGCCTGAAGGGTATTTTACTCAGTGCACAAATACATGGTGCCATGTTGTCAAAGGTTGGGCATAAACCAGAGAAGCAGAACTGGTGTTTTACTGCCAGTGGCATCTGTAGATGAAGGAGAAAATTGACTGGGGAGTTTGGAAAAGTTATTTGAAAGATTGGTGCTTAGAGTTTGAGGAGAGGAGCAGCTCCATTTGTAGGTCAGTACTTAAAGCCATAAGAAGATCAGAGTGATGCAAATAATGTGTACTTCTAACACTGCCTTTGTAAAGATAAGGGGGTTTAACCCTCCAATTCTCCAGCAGACCTTAATGGTGTTAACTACAGATTCTGTATTCATTATATTGCGCTGAAATCTTTTTCCTTTAAAGCTCACAGTTGGAGCTTTCTCGTATTTTTTCAAAATGTCTTGTTTGGGAAAAGGGGGATTAACCTCATGAAAAAAAAAAAATATGGACAGGCTCATCTGCTGCTTCTGCAGTGCCGTTGCCTGCAAACCAGCATAGGTGACATCCTAGCAACTGGGTAGCTGTAAATCGTGAATAGCGGTCCCTAGCTTCTCCGGGTTTAAATCAGGTCTTTATGAGGAAACTGGTGTGAGTATGAATGGTAACACTCCTAATGAGTGGACGAAAAACAGAAAGGGAGGTTTTTGCCCTTCAGTAGCTCCTGAAGGTAGTAGCTCCTGTTAGTTATTGTTAAGAAGCAATATTAACATAATCATTTGAAGAAGTCTTCTGAGAGAAAAGTACAGCTGCAAAGACACAAGGGTTAATAATGAAGGTAAAGCCTGTTCATCTAAATAAAATAATTTTTTATTTTATTTTAAAATAAACTTCATCTCTAAAACCATGAGAATATAAACCCTGCTTTTCTAGTTTTAAGCAGTGACTGAGATGTCTGAGCCAAGCTGAATATCTCCGTATCACTTTATGCTGGAAATGAAGGGACAAACCAGCCTGCTGAGGTGAACACCAGAGCTGGCTTTACCAGCTTTGCTGCTTTTGAGCTACTGGGGTTAAATCCAGCCTTCCTAACACCTACTCAGACAGCAATTGCAGTTACTATGAGCAGCATGAGATGTCATTAGTACATAGTTGGGAGCATCCCTGCCATTCCAGGGAGGCGGGTGGGGATTCATGCCAAAGTGATCAAAAGATGCTTTTATTTCAGAGTGCGGCAAAACCGCATAGATTACCTGTCCTATGTAAATGATATATTTTTATTTAAGTTTCCAAGTTCAGCTGTTGATTCTCCTGCTGTGCGACGTTTACTGTTGCTTCCTACAGAGTATTGCAAACTGTGTAAATCGAGTAGTCAGGTTTTACAGAATGAGGGGTTTAATTTGTGCCCCGAAGGGAGGACCAGCCACTGGCTGGACGGCTTCTTAGTGGAGTCGTTAATAGTTCATCGGTAACCATTAGGCAGCTCAAAAATATTTTTCCTTTGAGAATAACCTGAGCTCTGCTGCAAGGAAAACAAAGGTGAGGGGAGAAGCATAGAATAGCAGCAGGGTAAAAATGGCATTTAAATTGAATGTTGCCATTAGAAAGGGTAATTTGTTATCAGAAAATGTAATAAAAATGTACCTTTGCTATGGCTTTTGAAAAGACTTCCGATCACGAAGAAATTTATTTTGATTCATAAAAATTGACTGGTTATAAAGCAGTGTTGTTTTTGGTTGCCATTTGTTTAAATAAACAAAGTCTTTAGTAAGGCTTTAAAAAAATTTTGATTTAACGCTAAATCACATGTGACATTTTTGCTGACTCACACCGAATACAGCCATTGATGGTCGTATGCAAAGTACTGCATAATTAATTCCTTGTTGACAGCCCTGGTGATGTAAATCAGAAACCAAGCTGTAGCTTTGCAGATCTTTCCACAGCCACTCCAGTGCTATTCTTCAGGGACTTTCTTCCATATGAGTCATTCTGAGTCCCCTTAAAGTCCTTTGCTGAGATTACCGAAATGGCGAACACGCTCTGAAATGAAATGTGACACTTGCAGAATTTGGAGCAATAGTAAGTGTTGGTTGTTGGTAGTTTGAAGTAGTATGTGTAGTAGTTCCAGGCTCGAGTTAAAGTGCTCCATTGCCTGTCCTTTGGAAGGAATGTGGCTGAGATAACTGGTTAATTACAGCTTTAAAAGATGACTTGTTGAGAAAGAGGGAAGGATGCTAAAATGTTCTGTCTGATAAGGGGACATTTTCCTCTAGTTTTAGACAAGCTGAAGAAAGCTTCATGCAAAATAAAATATTTTTCTAGTTTGCTGTTGCAAATACTGAATTTATTTCAGTTGCGTTACTATGTCTTATTGTTTAAGTAGAAGATATCCAGTGCTGAGAGGGAATATCAACATTTCAGTGCATTGCTCTTCAAAGAAAGAGACTGTAGTCTCAGATAGTGGAGGAAATGTGTGGTTTTATATGTAAGGCAACTTGACTTAAGGCTTCTGTTAGAGGAGTTTTGCTGGTGTTTAATAAACGTATTGCCCAAGAATACCTTTTCTTATAGTCAACAGTAATAACTTGCCTTGATTCAATTTTGCAAGTTCTACATCTTGGCATTTTCATTATACAACATATTGTAGATACTGTGTGAAGTTCCCCCTGGTCTAATTGCCTTTCATCCCCCCTACTTCCCCAATATTTGGAAATTAGTAACAGTGGGAGAACTGGCTTAGGCAGGTTCAGTTTACAGACTCCTCTGAGATTTTGCTTTCAGCTGTGAAACGTCATGTTGGATTTAAGTAATGCATCGAGTAAACCAATGATTATGATTGCAAAGTGGAATATAAAATATTTAAAGATCAGGTTAGAGGAAGGTGGCAAAAATTCTGCATGCTACTTACATGGATATTGGTGATTAGAACAGATTTTTTTTCTGAGGAGAATGTTCTGGCTAGCCCAGAATTTTGAAAGGTGGACTGATTTTGCTAATTAGCAGCTTAGAAAGTTAGTCCATTTCTCAATTTGTGAATATATAAGTATTAAGGTAAAAATTGCAGGAAGATAGCATTATGGAAATAGAGAAATCCTTAAATAGCTTGCAGAGTGAGCATAAATCCTTTCTGCATTTCTTTGCATTTATAGAATCCTGGAATGGTTTGTGTTGGAAGGGACCTTAAATATCAGTTTCGCCCCCCTGCCATGGCCAGGGACACCTTCCACTAGACCAGGTTGCCCAAAGCCCTGTCCACCCTGGCCTTGAACTCTTCCAGAGATGGGGCAGCCACAGCTTCTTTGGGCAGCCTGTTTCAGTGCCTCACCACTCTCACAGTGAAGAACTTCTTTCTAATATCTAAATCTCCCCTGTTAGCTTAAAGTCATTCCCTATGTCCTGTCACTGCATGTTCTTGTAAAAAGTCCCTCCCCAGCTTTCTTGTAGGCCTTCTTTAGGTACTGAAAGCTGCTATGAGGTCTCCCTGGAGCCCTCTGTTCTCCAGGCTGAACAAGCCCAGTGCTCTCAGCCTGTTTTCACAGGAGAGGTGCTCCTCTTTGTGGCCCTTCTCTAGACTCGCATGAGCAGGCCCATATCCTCCTTATTGTGGGGGGCCCAGAGCTGGGTTCAGTACTGCAGGTGGGGTCTCACGAGAGTGAAGTAGAAGGAGAGGATCACCTCTGTCAGCCTGTGTGGTTCCACTTGTTTTAATGCAGTCCAGTATATGGTTGGCTTTCTGGGCTGCAAGCATACATTGCTAGGTCATGTTGAGCTTATTGTTAACCAGCACTCCAAGTCCTTCTTCTCAGGGCTGCTCTCAATCCAGTCTCTGCCAGCCTGTATTTGTGGTTAGGATTGCCCTGATCCACGTGCAGGGTTCTTTTCAACACTGTGACTTGTACCCTGGCCTACTAAATTATTAATGTATTTTTATTGCGTTTAGGCATCTTGGGTATTACTGTTAATCTTTTTTTTTTTTTTCAGTGTATTATCTTTATAGTAAATCCTTTATAGACTTCATAGCATGAAAAAATATGTGTTGTGTTGTGTTGTGTAGAAATTGACCAGTGTTATTTACCTGCCTGGTCTTTAAAAACAACTGTTTAATTTTTTACATCATCACTGTAAAAATGATGTTTAGTTGGGGCCAGAGCTAATTTTTTGTCATAAGTTACATATAAGCATATGTGGTGACTTTTTGCACCCTCAAGTGAGTTTTATGAACATACTTTTGTAAACATGTTACCTAAGTACTATTTGTTAAAGGTGCTTGGCCCAACTGTTTCCTGGTGGTTGTTAAAAGCCCTTGCTAATGGAATGCTCTATCCTAATTCAACATGCTTTGCTACCTGCTTCTAAAGTGGTGAATTGCCTAGATATCAGCCAGTAGTAAATTCATAAGCAATTTGCTGTACTTTGTTCTGAAAATTTTCCAGTGCTTTAATTATTGCAATTGTACTGCTGTTATTTGCAGTTCTGTTAAACTTTATTGAGTAAAGAAAGCCTAAAAGAGACAATGATAAAATGCCAGTTTAACATTGTGTTGTTCAAGTCAGTGTTGACATTTTTCAAAAGAAAAGGACTATGTGAGTCCTTTAAGGATATGCTTCTTGTGGGGTGTACATTGGCCTTTAAGCAAAACAATCATTAGAAAATAGGAAAGAAAAAAAACAAGTTCCACATATTTTCAGAAGCTTAATTTTGGGATTCTCTTACTTTTGGAATTACAATATAAAGTATACCGAGAAGAACATAGAAGCTACAATAAATCTACCTGCTAAGTACTAAATCCTTTTATATTTTCAGAAAAAAGCCAAAGGCCAGCTCCTGTTTGAACAAATCATGTACCATCTGGACCTTATAGAAAGTGACTATTTTGGATTAAGGTTCATGGATTCTGCACAAGTGGCGGTAAGTAGCAGTGCTTTGTTTATTCATTTATTTATCTTAAGCAACAGTCTAAACCTGAAATCTTAATATTGACAAAAACAGTATAAGAAAGCTGCCTTTTTTGATTTAAGGTTTTGCGTGGAAGCTCTGTGGCGTGTTTGTTTGTGACTCCAAGTTTAATTCCACCTTAAGCACTCTTAACACCTTACAGGGCTGTTGTCTCTTCCTTTCTTGTCTTTCACTTGTTAACTGTCACACCTCCTGTTGTCATTAGTGAAGCTGGCTCAGAGCCTGGTGTGGCATGTAAAAATTCTTGATGCTGCTGATGCAGAGAGGAAGGGGCAAAACTAGTGTGTGCTTAGCCCTTTATTGTTCTGCAGAGTGGAGAAAGTTTTCCTTTGCCAATGCCATAAACTTTCTCCTCAGCAAAAGTTTCTTTCTTAATGTCTGCTTGGGAAATAATCTTGGCAAGAAGGGTATACCTTTGATTTGCTCAAATCAGTTGTGACTTAGACCTGCAAGTAGAAATTTTTGAGAGAATATAGGTGTGTTTGTTGTATGTATCAGACAGTTTTAGTAGAGCATTCTTGCAAACTTGAGTTTTTGAAGTTCATCATGTGTTTGTGAAAATGTGACTGCTTTTGAAAACAGCAGAGCTTTATTTGTCTAAAGAACCACAGTTCTTTCCACTTATGGGCTGTGCAATTGTTATAAAAATCTAGCCAATCTGTTTTAATTGATTTTTATTATAATTAATATCGAGAGACAATAAACAAGCAGCTCTGGGTACACCGGGGAGTCTCCGCTCCGCCCGTGAGCGGGAACTTCTGGGGATAGTCTCTTACACTTTTTGGCTTCCCGGGCTTCTTGGGCTTCAGCCAATCCTGTTGTCTTCTTTTCCCGGGCTTCTTCAGCCAATCCCGTTGTCTTCTTTTCCCGGGCTTCTCCACCTGTTGTTGGGTTCTTGTCTCCGGGTGAAGAAATATTATGTCTATCACAAGTCTGACCGCCATTTTAGCCCCCATAAATTTCATTCCTTATGTGTTTATTTGTTCAGCGCACAGATTTCACAACGCTCTGTAACAGGACATATCTCTAAGTTACCTACCCCCCCTTTTCTAAGAACATTCATGCAATTTAAACAGTGAACAAAACATTTCTTTGCACAATACTGCAGTTGACCCAGGGGAATTATTCCCTTGTTTCTTCTTCCTCCTCACTGTGGTATTGACAGGGGCACTTACCATACCCTTTGCACATAGCACAATGATCACAAAGGATTCCACCTCCACACAAAGTGCAATGATCACTAGGACCCCTGAGTTGCTGACACGAATCACTCTGATGTAACTCGCACAATTCTGTATAGATACTTCTTGCCAAGTACAAGGACAGCTGCATTTCTTCCTGCCTACAAGGACAGCTACAATTTGAGTGAGGTGTTAGACAAGGAGTGCATTTTTGTCTCTGTCCTGCATCCCTGTAACTTAAACATGTATTCACTTACCATAACATCCTCAAGTATAATGAGATCTGAGTTTTCATACTGTGTATGTCAGTCAGTTATTTGTTAGAGGTATTACCTTATTACATATATGTTAGATGGATGATGGATGTTTCAAGTCCACTTGAAACGGAATTATTCCATGATTAGAATGGCAGAGTGGGCGTACAGACAGTTGCTTCTGAGATAAATACCTGAACTGTTTGAGGTCAACATACAAAATTAGAGGCAATATGTTATTACAGGAAATGATGTATATTCCTTTACTTCTGAGGTGACATCTTAATTGCTACTGCTTTATATAATGGCAAAAAATCTCCCCAAGCTTGAATCTTTGAAAGAAGCTGATACCTTTGGACACAGTTATATCCACCCCAAATCACACTTTTATAACCTGATAGCTTCTTTTCAGAATTTTTGTGATTGAGCTTTTATGCTTAGCTTGTAACTGTAGAGAACATTCTGTTAGGGTAAAATTATTTGGCTTCAGCATCTGAAGCAAAATTTATGGCTAGTGGGATTAGCTGCTGCTCGGCTGCAGTTCCTAGTAGTGAAAGTGGCCTTAAACCTCTCGCAGAACAAGAGACATTTAACACTAAAGAGAGAAAGAGCATTGCACTAACAGATGGATGTCATCCAGAACCATGAATATCTCCTACCAACAGAAATCAGAGAACAGCCCATTGCATACCATTTTATATTTATAAAACTCATGTTAACTGTGTTAAGCATGTGCAGTTTAGGATGTTGATTATTGATAGTGAATCACTCCATTGCATTTATCTTTTTACTTCAGGAAAAAAATAATCTGTATGTTTAAATAAGGTATTCTACTTAATTTCTGCCATGTGGCTTCTGAAGTATTTTCGCATGCCCCTAGGATCCTATAAGAGCATAGTGTTAGTTATAACTGGTGAAACTGTATGGTAGACATTTTGCCTTCTTGTTCTGTTAGTAAATAACATCATTCCATCTTGAATTGGGGAAATAAGAGTTAATCTTTTCTGACTCGGCAATTGCTCATGTCTTGGTTTTGTCCAGAAAATTTTACTTCCAGTCCAGACAGCACCTGATTGAGTATTTGATACTGCACTATCTACCAGCTACAGGAGATTTCAAACTTAATTTACTTCCTTTTCTTAACTATGTGTGACTGAAAAGAGGCAGAGTAGAGATAACAATTTGTTTAAACTGGACTTTAATGATATATTCCGCATAATGAAGCAGAAAAAGTAGCATTTTGCCAGGAAGGCTGAATGCACCAACCAGAGATAATTGCTTTAAGAAGTGAAGAACTGTTGTAATGTCAGCCATCCTTGCGAAGAGGAGCTGGCACATTCTAGGAGAAACCCAGTCTGCAGCTGGAAACAAAGAGAGACACTAATCAAGTGACTTGTCAAAGATTATTCAGGAGACCTGTTAAATAAACAGTGTAGGAATTCAGTCCCTTACTGTGGACAAGATTGCCCGCTGGCTCTGAAGGAGATCTTTCTGCTACCCAATTTAAATTAAAGTATGTTGCCTTATTATGTGATGATACACACTGGCAAACTAGCAACATGTAGTTAAACAAAAGTTTGAGAAATGCCTTGCTTGTTTTAACTACAAATGAGTTTTCAACAGACTAATTTTGAACAACTGAAGGAGAGCTTTGTTTTCTTCTCTTGAGCTGCTGAAGTGATTCGTAGTTAGGTGTTTGAGTTTATGATGTACTGCGGAGTGTGGGAACCAAAGTATAATACAAACTCTTCCTGACATTTTGGAATTCAGAATTCAAATACTAGCTACTTTAGAGCAGTTCTTGAAACAGTTGGTGGATTGGAAAACTTGTTTTCGTATATTTTCTGTGTTCATTGCTAGTCTGATGGTTAGGAATAGATCTCCCCCAGCACCTCCCACAAGTAAGAGGCAGGAGGTGGCAGAAGGAGTTCCTTGCAAAACTGTCCACTATATAACAGACTTGATCTAGCAGACAAGGGAACAGGCTGTTGTTAATTGGAGTAACTTCATTTCAGGCTGACAGTGAACAGTGCACCATGTCCAATAACACAAAAGATGAAGGTTTTTATTAACTTCTTGGGCTATTTGGCTTTTTTTTTTAGCAGTGCTAGAGATATGTTTCTGGTAAGGATTTAACAGGTGGTAAATTTCTAATTCTAATGTACAGGTTGCAAGAATCAAATACTTGCTCTTCCTAATGGAACTGCACAACACATTGGTTTGTTGCTGTGGCAGTTTAACATAGTGCTTAATGCTGAAAATTATTTGTATAGCATTGCACTAAGTATGCACTGATTCATTGCATAAAGTATGGGAGCAGTTTTAACCTCCCTGTCTTACTAAAAAGAACAGTTTACCCTACCTTCTTGAAATGTTGCTGGGTTTTTGGAGGGGGAGGGTGTTGTGGTTTGAGGTTTTCTGGTGGTTGTTTTGTTTGTTTTTAATTTCTGAAGCAGCAAACTTCTTGTAAGGACTTCCAGTACTCTCTGCAGTTTGTTGTTCATACTGCTTTTTGTTTAGCAAACTTTATCTCTGGATTTCAGCAGTAGACTCTGCTGAGCAAACTCATCAAAACATAAGCTTTTTGCCAGGTCCACTTGAATTCCATGTTAATCACTTGAAATAAATCTTAAATTTCCTGACGTCTGTGTGTGTCCATGCAGTGTTGGTTTGGTGGTGGTTGGTTTGGTTTTTTTTTTGTCGTTCTCCGCATTCCACCTCCCCGCCCCCTCCTGCCCCCCCATTTAAAAGCAGTTCTGCTTCCCTTCTTCCCCACACGCCCTTATCATTCAAACAGCGCTCCTGTAGGCAGCTGTGGTAAGAGCCAAGCAAAGTAAACGCTGTCAGTGCCTGTCGCGGGCCTCTCAGTTGCCTTCCCGTGGAATGTGGAGGAGATGAGAGAAAACAGGAGGGAGGGAGATGAAAGAGACATGCACAGCCAGTCCTGGAGTCTAGAAATGGCTCTCTTTGCCATTGCTGTATATAAATCACCTGCAAGCCTGCAAGTGAATTGTTTTGTATATTTTCATAGTAGAGGAAGGAGTAAGTAAATAGTCTTTTATAGCAAGCGAGTGTATGGAATAGGAAGAGAGATTGTTTTATTTCCTAAAGAAACAGCAACAAAAAATGCTCAACTCATATTCACTGGTAGTATAAGCAAAGCTGGTGTAAATATGCTTCATTCTGCCTTAAGCTTCCTGCTTTGTTTTAAATACGTATTAGGTATGTTTCAACTAGCTTTCTGCAGCTACTTTGTTTTAACAGGTAATGAGAGCATTCTCAGCTGGGTGCACAGCAGCAGTAGATGGTTCAATAGTTCTGATCTGCAGCTAATATATCAATCACTACATACCCTGGGTGTATTACAGACTGACTTAACACACTCTGCAGAAGGCAGGGCTGCTCTGAAGACAGGAATGTTTGCACTTGGCATTGCAACCTGAAAATACCGGTTCTTTCTCATAACCCTGCTGCTTTTCTGTCGTCCATGGGGCCCACTGTGGATTTCATGGCACATAGTCTAACCAAAGTAGTGTTGCTAAGTAATAATTCATCTGTATTAATTGCAAAGTGATATTTGGGATTGATCAAGTGAGGTTGTTTTACCTGGGAATTGTGAACCATGCAGGACATGATAGATAGCTTGGTCTGGCTGTCGAGTCAATGCAGTTTATATTGAATATGGTGCTATGTTTACCGTTTAACTGAGTCATCTCTTTTGGAGGAGGGAGCTGTTCACTGTGCACAGCACTTAGCTAGCAGTAGAGACCTACTTCCGTGTGTTAACTTTCCAGCTTTGTCTTTCATTTCTGGCATAAACTCTTCAGCAGTGGGAGTATATGCAGTTATTTTGTGGAACATGTATGTGTATCTGTTTCTCTCCATCTGCCATCAGTAGCTTAATTTTCACATGCTGTTGTATGCAATATAAGTGAAACTATTATTTTGGCTTCACGTCTAGTATATAGCTTATAATTACTATTATTCGGTGAGGCAGTAATGTCCTCCCATGTGACAGTTGTTAAAATGTCACCTGTAAATAGATTCTGGAGAATTAGGTATAGCTGACCCTTATGCTGGGACATAGACAGCTTTGCTGTTACTAGACTGAAGTCATCTAAAGAACACGCCTGAAAGCCAGCAATATTTATTTTGACTCTCCCCTTCCACCCCAAGTAAACATCACAAGCAACTAAGTGCCAGTCTGCAGCTATGGTTTATGCCTCTCTGGCACATTGTCACTGGCTGACCTAGTAACATGTGAATTAAGTGTTTGTTTAGACAGCATAAAAATTTTAGTAATTAAAGTGGTTTGTCATAACTTTTTTAAAGTACATAATGCTTTCTTGAAGATTGGCTTTAAACAGGATGTCTCTGTTGTTCAAAACTGACATTTTGCATTAAAAACTGAGTGAAAGGATCATGCTGAGAGAGAGCTGTGAAAGATTTTTATTAGATTGTTTTAATGAACTACTTGTTATTCCAAGATGGTCTTCACTAACACATAATTTGTTGGTTTTTCATGTTTCTTTTTTGTTCTTTCTGTGAGATTTCTTTATTGATAATTCAGTGAAAGTAATTTATTTTTCAGCACTGGTTGGACAACACAAAAAGCATTAAAAAGCAAGTAAAAAGTAAGTGTTCTTTCCATTTTCTCCTGGGATCTCATATTGAAAATACAGGAGGGAAAGAGAGTTGAAATGGGTGGTGAAGAGCAGTGTACTGTAAGGGGTGACAAGACCCAGGAACAAAAACCCAGCGTGGTGCTGCTGATTGTTTAATGACCTCTTCCCTCTGTAGCTCATATTACATTAGTCTAATGTCCTTAATTAGACATGGTATAGGTTTATTAATTGCAGTTTAGATGGGCACAAGGCAGCTGAAGATATTTTAGTGTTACCGATCGTTATCCTGACTATAGGAAAACTTGTCTTGGAGCCTCCATCCTCTGAGGCAGTCCTGAATGTCTGAATCTGTGTTTGGTCCACCAAGTCCTTACCTGCTGCACAAGGTTTTGTAGTATGGCCTGGTTTCAGTGGTGCATGCTTGGGTAAGCTGTGGCATTGGCTGGTTTTTGTTCAGCAGCTTCCTTGCTCTGCGCTGTGCGAAGTCTTCAGGGATTTGTGATGCTGTGTTAATGCAACAGAGATTTTGGAAGCACCAAGAGAGAGAGAAAATTCCTCCTGTCAAATGCAAGAATCAGCAGAGCGCTGCACATTTTTAAAGAATTGTTAATCCATCCTTTTGCTGAATTAACTCTTTGGTTTCCTGAAGAGGTGATTGTTCCACAGAAGGGTCTGTTAAATATGTGCCTGAACTTCTCTGGAATAAAGGGGCCTGAGTTAACAGAAATGGGTATTTCCCAGGCTGGGAAGGTGTAACAGAGACAAAGAGTGTGCCTAGGGGTTTGGTCTTCAGACCAAATGGCAGAGTTAAGATGCTCAGCTTTCTTGGTGGTGGATAGAGTCCTTAAATATAGGAATTAACCTAGTCTTTGTGTGATTTTGGCAGGACAAATCGACTTAATGTTGGATTGACTTCTAACATATCAAACTATTTTGTGTGTATATTAAGAGTCCTTTCACCCTGATGTTTTTCATGCATTCCCCTGTCACAAATGAATTCCTGCCTTAAGACATTGTGGTAGGACAGAGCCAATTTCAGTCAAGTTTTGTGATGTGATTTCATGTATTAAAAAAAAAAAAAAAAGAATGTTGAATGAATTCTACTTTGCAGTTGGCCCACCGTATTGTCTACATTTTCGTGTGAAGTTTTACTCATCAGAGCCCAACAATCTACGTGAAGAGCTAACAAGGTAAGAAGAATTTTACGTGAGAGAGGGGTACCCAGGAAAGGCCAGTAAAATGTTTTTGTGGTATTTATCTAAACAGTTGTGTGATGTTTTGGAGAATTCCTTAGAGCTGCTTGCTTATTTGTTTTTTTTGTAAATGCTTCTAATCTAGTTCTCATGAAATAAACGAACTGTAATACAAAGAGATCTATATATTTACTATATTGATGCACCATTTTCCATTAGGCAATTCTGGCAACTAATCTAAGTAGCTTATACACAGTGGACAGAGATTTTCACTGAAGAGAACAGACATCATTCCTCTTTCTTTATTATTCTTAAATTGCATTTAATTTCAACTGTGTGTAGTCATCCTGTCTCTTTAGACAGAAAAGTATCAAATTGCAAGTTAGAGTTTATCTTTGGCAAAAGTTCACTTTGAAGTTTCACTTTGCCACTATGAAACATTTCATTCATCTTGAGTTCTGCCAGTCAGACCTTGCTACACAGGCTTTAGCAGGGCAGACCTGAAACCTGAGGGCTTTTAAAGCCTGTTTGCCTGCTTAGCTAATCCCCCAGAATAGGAAAACAGCAAGTCTTTCTTCTGTCTCGAGGACATTTTATGCCCTAAAGAAGCAGCGGGAAGGGGAGCTCTGCCATGGTTATGTGTATCACTAGCAGGGGCTTTCTGAGGGGTCTACCTTCTCTTGGTGCAGCTGGGGCTACTTTTCAGTTTCCACAGGTGCAGCTTGCTAATGTTTTCTGCCGGCTTTCCATCAGATGCCACCAGTCAGAGGTCATGTAACACAGCCTCAGCATGGGAAGTATGCTTGAATTGTTTTGCAAGTGTTATGTGGCTGATAAGCACAGACTGGACACACGCACTATACACTGGAGGCCTGTGCTCATTCTTTTGGTATCTAGGGTCAGCACCAAACAAATTTATTCCTCACATATGGGCCAGAGTACAAATGACTTTGGATAATGTTTGGTTTAGCAAAGTATTTGTGGATTTCCAAGAGACCTGTAGGAAAATGGCTTTCATCTGTTTTGTGTCTGTGTATGTGAGTACAAGTACCCATAGGCACATGTTAAAACAGAAGCATCATCTTTGGTTTTGTGTGGATGGCTTCTGTTCAGTTATAGTAGAATTCAAACTGGATACCATTGCGGAGCCTGGTGTTTAGTTGATGGGACAACTGCTTGTCTTGGCAAAGGAAAGCTGTGTACCAAGATGGCTCAAGAGAGCTACTCTTTGTGGGTATTGGATAGGAAGGATTGGTGTTGCACACCAAAGGGATATTTGTATTCAATATTTGCCCAATTTCTAAGCAAGAAGAGTGCTGAATAAGCAAGGCAGTGAAGAAAAGCTGGCTCTGAAGAGTGAAACGTTTGAAAAGGCTGTTCTGTTGTTTTGGTTTGGGTTTTTTTTGTTGCTTTGCAGTCAGCTGAAAGGGTTAGATTTTAACTAAGCAATCCATATTAGGAACATTTATTTTTGAGATACTTTAAAATATTTATTCTCTTACAAGATCTGTATAGCTATGAATAATGAAGAAAACGTGGAAGATGTAAGTTGTTCTTTGCCCTAGTAGGATCAGGAGAGGGGAAAAAGAAGATGGGTATTCTCTTTCTTCTTCCATGAAGCACTGTAGGTTAGCTTGTGACAACTTCTAGTTTTGGGTTTACTTCATTTGAAATGTGTGCAAAGCATACAAACTCAACTGATAAAGCCTTAAAAGATCACAGTGCAGTTTGTTTAGTCTTGAAAGCCCATGTAAAGAGTAGAAAACGTTTTTATTTGTCAGGCTCTAACTTCCTCCTGTAAGCTGAGCCACACATTAGAAGTATTAATCAATGACATTTATTTCTTATTTAATCCTACAGGTATTTATTTGTTCTGCAGCTGAAACTGGATATTCTTAGTGGAAAGTAAGTATTACTGATAAACAGCTTTTTAAACAGTTACAGTATGTTTAGCATAGGATTTATTACACTTACATTTGGATAATTAATAAGTTTTGCTAAGTAATGTAATGTGGGGCTTTTTCTCTAAGATATGAGTTTTCTATGCATGACTAGCAGCAGAGGAATGCTTAAATAATGTAGTGCTTCTCTCTTGTTAATTTGCTGAAAATCTACTAATCCTTTTTTCATTTTCTTATCCCAAACTATTGCAGTTTCTCACTGTTGGGTATATGAGTTGTCTGCTAAGTAGTGTCAGCTAAGGGTTTAACAATGCACTTGTCTTACAACAGATTGGAATGTCCTTTTGACACAGCCGTCCAGCTGGCAGCTTATAACATGCAAGGTCAGTAGGTACAAGTGGGGAAGGATGAAGTTGTATGAACAGCTTTGTGTGTAGACTATTACTTTTAGTCTGTCCTTGTTGTATGCAGAAAATAAGTTTTGTGCAGCTGCTAGCGATCCAGTGTGAAACAGCTCTTTTTGATTGTAATTTTGTTGTGAGCATGTATAGAAAATTAGTCAGTTCCCTAGGAAATGTAGCAAAGAGGTTCTGAACAGAAACAGCTTTGTCCTAAACTTGTTTTCTCAGGTGCGTGTGTGCAAACCTGTCCACTTTCACATATGAGATACGAGTTTTGCAGCCTTTGTGAATTGCTTTGAGGTAGTAACATAGTTCATTATTTTTCATTGTAGTTTCTGCCATGTGCTTTATTTGTTGTACAAACTGGGTACAAAATTATTTTGGTTCTGCACTCCATTGAAAAATCTTGCATACAAAATCCACCAGCTTTTGACTGCAGCTTATTTGTAGAAACATGTAGAAAACAGTGCGTGATGTCTCAAGCTGGTACTTGAGCATTTATGGCTGAACTGCACTTGCTAGTATTTCAGTTCCTTCTTCTGTCAAGAGGTGACATGCTGTCATTTCTCAGCTGTACAGCACTGTGCTTCAGCCCTCTGAGACTCTTATGAATGAATTGTCTTTAACTTTTGATTCCAGCTGAGACTCCAGCATCCATGGCTTCTCTGAGAACTATGGTCTGACCTTCAATTGCTTGTATAGGTTGTACATCACTGATCTTTATGGATGATGTCTGCTGTTCGTTGGATGAGGGTGTGATCTTAGCAAATATGAACTTTTCTGTTGTTTCAAGCAGGGGAATACACAAAAGAAAGTGAAGTTTTAGAAATGTCTGCTAGAGCAGGCATTTAGGTCCTTGGAGGATACAGTTAAATGGCCTTATTCAACCCAGTTTAAATCTACAAAAAAAAATCCCAGAACCTCAGCTGTAAAGTCCTCTTTGATGAAGAGAGAATTTTTAGATGTGCCATGCGTTTGTGCTGCACAAATTCTCTACGCAACATTCATCTTATAAACCAATACACTGTTGTACTTACTTTGCAGGGCTTAGGTAACATGACTAAGTCACTGAAATTCTTTCTTGTACAGATGTTTTCCAAAACAGATTTTGTTCTTCCAGCAGGGCCTACTAATGGCTTTTATCATGTGTAGGTATAGAAAGCTGGGATTAAACTGTAAAGGTACCTGCCTTTTTAACCCGCTCTTTTGTGTGGAAGGAAAACAGTTAGACTACATTCCATAGTTTAAAATATTAGCATTGTTAGAGCCTTAAGGTATAGGTTCAGTGAATAACTTTTGGAAAAAACAAGGTGATCTAATTATGTCATATATCCATTGCTTTTTGTGCTGGTCTTTTCTTTCCTCTCTCCACAGTCCTTGTAGCAGGGCTTTAATCTTACTGCCTGACAGCTGTGTACTTTTATTTAAATCAGCTGGAACCTAAGCTGGCTTTGACAGCATTCCTTTCAACAGAGGCAGGCGCTTTAGTGGGAGTAAATTATTGTAGAACTACAGACTTCCTCAGTCAGCATTTAAAAAAAAGGGGGGGGGGGATAAAAAGGCTCTTATTATGCTGCAGTGTTCAGAAATCCAAGAAGGGGGTTTTTAGAATTTGTATGTAGTTTCTGCACATATGGATACTGTATGTGTGTATTTGACTTCGCCATGTCATCCCAAAGATGTCACTTGGTTTTTTTCCTACACAAACATTGGTAGGTTTTTTTTTCAAGCATAACAATTATTGGCCTGTATCAGACACCAAGGACCGAGTTATAGAATTATTCCTAAATTTTGGACATGAGCTGAACATTAAGAAACTGCTTGAAATTAATGAGAGGAGCAGATGCTTTAGTGATTCTGAAAATCAGGACATTTTTATAAAGGTTTCTAACTGTGATTTTCAGCATTTTATGCATACATCAATCTTCAGAAGCTGGACCCCCCTGTGGAAGGGGGTTGTGCTTTTGATGTGGCAAACCCGTTGAATAGTATGTTCCGTATGCTCTCTAAATAGCATCTCATATTGCCCCTATTGAGCATGCAGCAGTGGACTGGATGAGCCATTTGACTGACCCAGTAGGGCATTTATTATGTTCTTAGATGAAAAGGAGAGCAACAAATAACAGCTGCAGGATTGTTCCCTGACACAGAGTAATTATATCAAGATGGGGGAAGTTATAAAACCAGAAACTGATTTTTAGAATGGTTTTATGAAGAGTCAGAACTGGGTTTGGGGTTTGCAGCTCTCAAGAGATTCTGTTTTAATAATTTAAGGCAAAATTCTGTTTTAACTTAAGTTCGTTTTAACCTGTCATCTCAATAAAGATATAAGTGATAAAACATTGAAAACTTTCTGCAAGAAAGAAAAGAGATGAGTGTCAAGGATGTTGACAGCTTCCTTGGAAGTTTGTTAAGGAATGCATCAATAGCACTTTGTAAAAATTAATGCAAAGCTTTTGTGCAGACAACACAACTACTTGTTCAGTGTTAATAATTTTGCTGTTAAAAAAGGTAGTGCTTCAAATAATTGGGAGGACTGGAGGTTGAGAAACAACACAAAAAGAAATTTAATATTTTAGATTAACTAGAAAAGTATGCAAAAGTTCCTGTGTTACTGTGAACGCTGCTTGACAATGCTGTTCTTCTGTAGCTGAACTTGGAGACTATGATCCTGCTGAACATGTGCCTGAACTGGTGTCTGAGTTCAGGTTTGTTCCCACCCAGACCGAAGAGATGGAACTAGCCATTTTTGAGAAGTGGAAGGAATGCAGGTACTAGATCTTCCAATGCATGCTAACCAGCTGTTAGCACTGATTTTTCTGTGAGAGAATGTATTAAGATGCTGCTGGTGCTTCTTTGGTCCTGTTCAGAAATGTAATTCTAATATGGTTCTGTCATATTTTGTAAGAGGATGTAATGTGCAAAATTGAAGTTTTTCAAAGGTCTGAGTTAAATGATGAGGTACAGATTCTTGAAATGTAATAATTTTTTAGCAATGGTTTCAGATTAAAACTTACAAAAGTGACATTGATGTTCAAAGCAAACAAGTGTCAGCAGCATTGGGGTTTTTCACAAACTTGCAGGAAGTTCTTTTCCTCTTTCTTATATACCGGGTTTTGCTTTCTGTGCTTTGTCAGGCATCTTACCTAACAGCAAAACGTTTATTTCAGGGGTCAAACACCAGCACAGGCTGAAACTAACTACTTAAACAAAGCTAAGTGGCTGGAAATGTATGGTGTAGACATGCACATAGTCAAGGTATGTTTAACCACAGCATGGTGAGCTTTGGTAATGATAACGTTAGCTTTGTTGTGCATTTCAACACTGGGTTTGCTTGGAGGTGTGGGGTGGAATATTGTACTCATCTAAGCTGTGTAACAGGTGATCTGGCTTTGCATCAGCTGTCCACTTTACAGTATACTTTTTAGAAGGTATAACTTTAGAGTAAGCATATCTGCTCTGTGTTAAATATGTGATTGGTGTGGCAATATGGACTACAGTTTGTATTTAGACTAAAAGCTATGTGAAAATCATAGTAATTAAGTTAAAACTGGCTGGGGTCTAGTCAGCTACAAATGAAGAACTACAAGTGAAAATAGATCTCCTGTGGAGAAGGAAGTGCAGAGAACCACACAAGGAGGTCCCTATCACACAAACAAATCAAGAAACTTTAATTTTCAATTTTAGTCAGCCTTATTGAGGATTTGCAGATTAGAAAAATCCATTGCATAAGGTCACTGAAACACAAGAGTTTTGTTGTATAAAATAAGCAGGTATACGTTTAATTGTGACAGTGGGCAAATAAGCTACATTACACTGGAGTAACTTGGATAAAGGGCTAAGCATCAAAATGAACATAATCTTTATTTTGTGGCAATTAGGCAAGAGATGGCAATGATTACAGCCTGGGATTAACACCTACAGGAGTTCTTGTCTTTGAAGGAGACACAAAGATTGGTTTGTTTTTCTGGTAAGCTCTCTGATTGTACATTAAGATACATTTTAAATTTTTACTCTTTTGCTTCATTTGCACTAGCCTTACTATTGAAAAGGAGACAGAAGCAATAGTGCTAGTGCAGGTTTTACATATAATGTCATCTGGGCAGCTTTTTCAGTAAGAAAATGTCTCTGTGCCTAGTAAAGGGCAGAAACATCTCTTTCTGCCCATCAGTAAGGACTACTCAAGAACAAATAAACCCAAACCCAGATCTATATACATCTAGTCATGGGATGTAGAAGTTCCTCTGGTTTTTATGAACATGTGCTTCTTTATCTGTCAAGTACCTGAATAACACCCCACAGTTTCTCGTAAGCATTGTGATGAAATTTTGTAGGGCTTTATATTGCATAAAGCACAAGGTGAAGAACCTAGCTAGCATATTTTGGACTGGATATACAGTAATTCATGGATTTAAGTGCTTTATTATCTTCATTCCCATCCAGTCTTTCAAAACTGTATACAAAGAGTTAAGGAGGCAGATGATGAGGTAAAATTTCATCATAGATCTATTCATTTTGGGTTAACCCAGTCCAATTTTGTAAATGGCAGAACAACACTCACTTTTTAGCAGAAATATTATCTGTGTGTCTTGTTCCTCCACCATCATTTCTAGGTATTTTTTTTTTGGTGAGCAGGGAGGGGAAGAAATGGTTGCAGTTTTGTGTCATGTCATGCTTGCATTGTTTTGGCTGGGATTTTGTGAAACAGAGTCATCATAGGAATTGATCTGAGCTATATTATACAATGATTTTTATTTCTGTAGTAAAGTAATGTTATTTTGGTCTGCCTTTGTGTCTTTCTGAGTTCAGTTTTGTGGGCTTGTGGAAGAGTAGGCAAGCAGGAGCATTTGGGTGCAGTTTGATTTCAGTTCAGATTACCTTTTTAGAAGTTGCTGACTTCTTATGAAAGTTTCTAATTAAATTTTAAATTTTGAAGTGCTACATTGGTATCCACAATATAATGAAACACTACTTCATGAACTTAAAACATCCATAAAACCAGAAAAAGAAAATCTGGTAGAAATACTTGGATCAGCACATTGAATGTACCTCTCAGTGAGTTACTAAGATAGTTTGATGTAACCTGCTTTTTCTGTTCATCTTGCAGGCCAAAGATAACAAGGCTTGATTTTAAGAAGAACAAACTCACTCTAGTAGTTGTTGAAGATGACGAACAGGTAGCTAACTATCTGCTTAGTTACATCTCAGTCTTAATTATACAGTACTAGTTTACATACTCCTGGTCTCCTTTAAGTTTTGAGAATTAACAAGACTTTTCGTTGTGACTTGGGAAGAGGAGGGGAATGAAGGGACTTAAGTATAAAATAAATAGGCTTAATTACTTTTATTCTCACCCTGTTTTTAAAAGAATACCTTGTGAAACTAGTGTAGACCAGATAATTGGAAACAGTGTGCATTGTGCAAGAAAGTTTACAAAAGGGCTGTGTACCACATTTAGGGGAATGAATTTAGGTTCATACTTGCTTTGACTTATTCAAGCCCCTTGTAAATTGTCAGTGTGCTTTGTGTGCTTTAAGGGAAAGGAGCAGGAGCACACTTTTGTCTTTAGACTGGATCATCCCAAAGCCTGCAAACACTTGTGGAAATGTGCAGTGGAACATCATGCTTTCTTCCGGCTCCGAGGTCCTGTCCAAAAAAGCTCAAGTCGATCAGGTTTCATTCGGTTAGGATCCCGGTTCAGATACAGGTGAGTGTCACCTGTCAGTTAGCATGCACCTTCTGTCATTTCTTGCTTTTCTGGGATATTATGTGTGGAAACACGAGAGAATCTGGTATTCATTCACCTAGGACACAGAGATCAGTGAAACTTGCAAACTGAGTGAGTTGCATTATTAGTTTTATTAAAAGCATGGATTTTCCCCCTGCGTTTTTCTGATATATCTTCAGGTGATTCTGGTCTGTGCAGTAGGAAACCAAAGGTTTCTCAAGGTTTGTGTTCTTTACATAGCATCTGTAGTATGTTGTGGTTTATAGGTCACTTCATCTTGAAAGTCCACCCTTTTAAAAACTATAGAGGGATTGATGATTGACTTAACCAGCTGGGGACATCTCAAGTCTTTTGACTCCTGAGTTTCCTGTCTGTGTGATGGTAGTGCTTCAGAAGCCTAAGATAAAGCCAGTGCACGGACAGACTTCTCAATGGTTTGTAATCCCAGACCTGTCTGCAGGATACTATGTGTTGCCCCACCAGAGTTGGTGAGAACGTATGGAAGGGAGTGAGGTGTGACCCCAGGCAGTACACACGTACTTTGCTTCCGTTTCCAGCAGCTGTAGCAATACGTCAAGTCTGCTTCAGGAAGGATCGATGGTACCAAAGAGCCAGCAAAACAGGAGGCTGCTACTGCCTTGGGGCAAACTCTGGCCAAATTTGGGGGAAAAAGACTTGCTTGGGAACAAGAGGATCTAAATGCTGGAATTTAGTCCTATTATCATTTTTCTTTATAGCCTTTGGCAACATACCTTTAGCTTTACTCTCCTAGAATTTTTAACTTCACCCAAACTGCACGCACTTTGACAACAGGAATATGTAAAGGACAAATGTGTTTTTTCAGCAATTTAGTGTTTTAAGGAGTCATTGCTTCAGCCTTCTGTCTTGGAAAAATGGGGTAAAGATTAGGATGTGTGTGGAACGCCTTCCCTTTTTTGTGAAAAGCCTTCTGAGTTGTTAAGATTGGTATTCTGAGTGAAACTGAGATCAGTTATTAAGCTCTGAATTTAAAATAAAATGTGATGTTTTGATGAGCAGTGTCTATGTTCTGTCATTAAAAGCAAGCCATTTATCTTACTGGTTTATATTTTTACATGGCACTGTTAGTGGGAAAACAGAGTATCAAACGACCAAGACCAATAAGGCCAGGAGATCAGCATCCTTTGAAAGAAGGCCCAGCAAGAGATACTCAAGACGAACACTGCAAATGAAAGGTAAAAGACCTTCTTTTCTGGGAAGTATAATACACTGTGAGAATAAAGTAATAGTATCCTTCATAGGTTGTGTGTAGGGATTCTTCTGTAGCTGGTTGCCCTTGAGTTTTCAAAATGAGGTTTTCTTTGACTTATCTGGGAGATCACATGTATTTATCAGAAAAAGCCTTTGTCCAGAGCATGTCATCCTAGCCTGTAAAGCACCCAGTAACATTGCGCAGTAGGCCTCTGTACAAAGATGGAAAACGTGGGTCCAGAGACCAGCAGTATATTAATGATGATATTTGAAATTTATTAATCAAGTTTGAAATTTTTCAAAGGGGTTTTGTCACTGTAGGAGTTGCACTCTTTCACAACTTTACAGCATGTGATACCTTGTCTCTTGCTCCCAATTGCGTAGATCAAGCGTGACCTCCGTGCATGCTTTCAGATATTTCCTTTTAGATCCAACTCTTTGGTTTGCTGTTCAGATTTTTTTATTCTCTTTTTCCAATGTACAATTTGGATTTTACACATTGTACATGGGATACAGGCAACTTAGCTCTTCGTTGCCTATTTTTAGGCAGTGCTAGATTTTATTTATAATGTATAATATATTAGATATTTGGAATTTATATATAATATCAGTATTTAACAGAACCTAATTATATATTTTAATTAGCGCTTTCTATTTTTGCAGCACATGCTGCTAAACTGGAAGAAACAAGGTAAGATGCATTCCAATACTTAAATTTCTCTTTGATGTTTGCCACCTGTACTTAAGCACATGTCTGCAGGAGGAGATTATAATATTAGTTAAATGCAGAGAGCATTAACCTCTTAACCATGGTTTTGCTGTGGATTTTTTGTTTGTTTGCTTTATGCAAAGCCTCTGGTTTAAAGCCTCCTGTGTTGCTGTCACATAGGAGATTTTGCCAGACTTGCTTACTAGCAGGAAAAGAGGTTTTATGACTAGCTATGATTCTGGCTGTTTATGAGCTATAGTTCTGTGTGCTGCCATATAAAGAGATTGGGTAAAAGCGTGTGAGGGTGTCTTCTTTCCAGAATCTGCCTACTCTGGCTGTGTGACTGAAATACTTAATCAAGTGAAGGTCAGAGACGGGGAAAACACAGTAAAATAAATATTGGAAATATAGCAATGATTTTCTGTTCTGTACTATGCATGCATTTATTTTTACATACTGAAGCGTTTTTTTTATATATTTATCCTAAATTTATTCAGAATCAACATTAAGAGGGAGGCCTTTTGGTTCTTTATTTCTGTACCTAAATTTTGCATGCGTAGGTTCATACTTGCTGTTGCAATGTAAAATACTCATGTGAATCTGAATCATACAGTTTTCAAACTCTTCTCTGAAGGAGGACAGGAAACTATGCTCTAATTAATTACGTGGTAGTAAAGGAACTAGGTCATTCAGTTATGGTTCTGTCCTTTGCCCTTGTAATCTGTGAACACTGCAGTGATCAAATGCAACCAGATTGTTTTTTAAAAGTAGGTACTCATAGATGTTAAGCATCAGGGCAGTCCGGAGCTGAGTAAGGAATGTAAGGAAGTAACATTTCAAAACAAAGGTGTAATACAGCCCTGTGTTTTATGTTTGTAGCAGCAAGGTTGTTTCTCGTGTGAGAGGGAGGAGAAAGTCTAGGAATTGTCTAAGGACAAGACTGCAGTTACTTTAATAGAGGTCTGTCTTTGTGACCTCCTGTATTGTCTCTTCTTTTTATAAAACAGGAAAGTACTCGTCAAAACTGGGTGCCATTAAAGTGCTTAAAGTTCCTCGCATGCAAGATGTGACTGATTAATAAGTGCCCTCAGCATGTTGTGTTGTCATACCCTTCTCTGAGTTTCATGCTGCTTAGGTCATTCTGAGAGTGGGAAGAGAAACTTCATCTGCAGTTTCTCCTGATAAGACAGTCTTCTGATCTGTACCTAGGTGTGGCAGTTTGTTAGTCTCCAGAGCAATCTATGCCATTTCTGAAACTCTACACTCGAGCTTCGGTAATTGAAATTCATCATGAAAGATGTATGTTGTTCCATTCTTTTGTTTTAACTCAGTACAGGGGAATGTGCTACCCACAAGGCATTCCTTAATATTTCTGTTAAATGTGCACTATTCTGTGGTAACCTCCACGTTCTCTCAGTAGAGCAGGTGCAAAGTTGGGGAACGGGCAAGAAACAGCTTGTTTGCTCTTGATATGATGATATTTAAGTAAAATAATTCTAAAGAATTGCTGAAGTAGATACGGAAATCTATTTGGATTGTCAGCTCGCCAGATTGGATAGCTACTGTCCAGACTCTAAAACAAAATATTAATTTATTAAATATATTAAATATTTAATATAAAATTATTAGTAATGCTGTGCTGAGCTGCTGTGCATGTAATTTTGAATGGCTGCTTTTAAGACTCTGAAGCAGGAATTCATTCAGTCCATTAGAGATTGTATGCAGAAGAAATTTACTAATTTTTCTGATAAACTTTATGATGTGAAACTTCAAATCAGAAAAGTCTTAGATGTGAAACAAATGCAGTATCTGCAGCATGTAGGTAAGGTTTTGACAATGTCACATTTTACTGAGTGTTTAAGTAAAACTATATTGGTTTTACTTTAAAGTGCCCCACCTTACTGCTGAATCAGGAAGAGTTTCTAAACCAAACTGGTTTAGTAAAGGAAGGGGGAAAACTAGGTGAATTACAGAGAAACTGCATCTTGAACAAATAAAAAATGTGATACCCCTAGTTACCTAGAAAGAGGCAACTGACCTAAACCAGAAGTTATTAAGGGTTCTTTTGAGAACAGTTAAGTACTTTGGAAAGATCTTCATTAGACTTGGTGTTTCTTTCTGAAAATCCTTGCAGTTCTGCTTTGTTAATCTAATTCTAATTTAAATTCTTTTTTGTCTTTTAGTACTGCAAACAATGCAGTTATACACCAAACTAATGGATCACAAGTAAGAACTCTCTCTTTTAAAAGACATTTTTCGTGTACTCCGCAGAATAGAGGATTTTTTTTTTACTCATTCTTAAAATCCAGTGATTGACCAATTGAAAGTTACAAACGGTTAACTATGAAATTGCATGCCAAGAAATGACTACTAATTAACAAGAAAGATAATTAGTTAATTTAGTTGGACTAAGGAAGACACTGTGTGCTCCAGTGCTATAGAAACTATGCTATTATAGACACAGATTTTCATAAGCACACAGAGTACCTTTGTGTGAGGGTTGTAATTATCCAAACTACATTAATTCTACATGTTAAGTAACCTTGAAAAAAAAAAAGGGGTGGGGGGGTGGAGGGGTGTGCAATTCATCAGCACCTACTTTGATTCCTGGTTAGAGTATTTCTTTTCCTCTGAAAGGGAAATGCACCTGCAAATTTAAGAACACATTGTTAGCAAAAGTTCAATGTTTTCTTGGTTTAAGAGGGAAATCAGACTCCTGTCCCTTTGCATACAGAATACTTTGTTTCACTGAAAAGGATTGTTAGCATGAAGTAATTCTTCTTCCCAGTATCAAAAAACAGGACTTGGATTTTGGAAGGACCCTGTCTCTTTCTGGTGCATTTCAAATGCAGGGTGCAACAGGAAAGGATCATATTGGTAGAAATGAGATTATGGTTTGGTTTAACATTAAAATACTCAATCTGTACTGATACATAGGTTGCTACTCTGCCCAGCCTTTTGCCTTCTATGCAAAAGGAGTTGTTTTCTTGTGAGCACTTACATTTCAAGTGGCAGTCCAAAGGCTCACAACCCGAAGGTGCTGGCTGTTACTGCAAAATTACCGTCACAGAAGGAAAGCATTACTGCATGAATTTAAAAAGGACACAGCAGGCTGTAGCTTCTTAGTGAAACTTTAGAGCAGCATATGGTCCCAGTATGCCATACTGGAAAAGACTAGGCATAGGTATCTGGTGCTGTGGAAGTAAGGAAAGAAAACAGCCTTGCTTTAGCTTGGTACTTAAGAAGTGATGACATGTTTTGCTATGTGTAATGTGTCATTGCTTCATTAATGTGTGTATAGTAACTTACTTGTTTATATTCTGTCTCCAAAGAGCTGGAATGCAAAACCAAACCTACCTGTCCTAACAGCGGTTCCTTCTGCCCCAGTCTTAGTGGAAATAGAAAACCTCCCAAGGAGCCCAGGAGCCAGCCAGCAAGACAAGAAGTGGTATGTTCTGCTTTGCTGGGAAATGAATTCTGCTTGCTTATGCATGATTCAAGTAGTTGTTTCTTTATCTGCACTTAAATAAGCTGCCATCCTTGTGTTCTTTATGTAAGTTGACAGTCAACTTACAATTAGTGGTGATGCAGCTGATTTGTTGCTGTGAATGTAGGATGGGGAGGTGAGGACAACAGGCTTAGTAACTGCTAACTGAAAGAAAATTTCTCCAGGGGTGAAGAAATTATTAAATCATCAACAGCATTTTCAAGTCTTGGAGAGAGCTGGGTCCTTCTCAGTTGCAATAATACTCCTTGTAACCCTTTGCTTGATATCACGGGGCCAAAGGACTTACCTCTATGCTTAACAAAATGCAGAACCTTGTAAACCACTATCCTTGTGAATTGTCATTTGAACGTTGTGAAACGAGCAAGCTGACTTTTTTCGTTATTCTGGACAGAATGGGAGCTTGAGGAAAATGACATAAGCAGAAGATAAGAGCTTTGATTTCATGTAATCAGACTGTTTTATGATTGGATGCATCTCAAAATGAGGGTGATTTGTTTGAAGGTAAATGTACATATAATTTACCTGAAAGTAATTTCACATTGCAAAGCTATTTCAAAGCCAAAACTGTCATATGTCAACGTAGTACTTGTGCACATGCCAACTTAACTTTTTCAGCTTCTTGTGCATTCAAAGGCAGTATGGCTTCTCCTTGAAGTGTAATTCTGGTTTCTGTGAGGCTCCAGGAGCACCAGTAGCAGTGATGGAATTGAGCAACATAAAACCTCTTATCTTAAGCAGTTTCAGCCCTCAAGAGGAAGGTCCTTCTCCCATTGTTGGGCATATAAACCTACTTTGCTGCAGTATCTCTTAAAAGTATATGATACCTGTTTCTAACAGTGCAATGACAAATGTACTTCAATTTCCTAAATCTTACTGATTAAAGACTTTTAATCCCATGGATTTTGGATTATAAGGGGGGTGGTAATTCTGCTTTGTGTTGCATTTTATTGAAGTGTCAATCAGAATATATGATCAATGCTGGGTTTTTTTCTTTCTTTTGCCCTTGATTTATCTAGTGTCTGAAATCTGTGCTTGTCTATGATGAGATCCTGTTGATCACTCGATTCCTTCCGTGGTGGTGGGTGAAAGGTGGTGGTTTCTTTATTCTTCAGCATTCTCAATATGGTTTGCGTTTTATTCCTTTGGTCTAATTGCAAGATGTATGCTAGAAAATGGCATTTTCTTTGGTGGAAGTGTTTGACTCTTGCTCCAAACAGCTCTTCTTGGGTATCTGATTTGTGCTAGTGTTCTTGCTAGTATTTGCAAGGCTTCTGTTGCTTATGAAATCCCACTGCTTTTGTTTAGAAGCAGAGAGGAGTCTGTAGCCAATCTGTTTCAGTTTTGGTCTTGGTCTGCCTGGTTTTAGGATTAAGAATTTGAGCCTGTCTGTCTTAATATTGTCAAGGAATCTAAGCTTACATGCCAGCTGCTGCAGTGTCTAGGCTTTTTGTAGAAGAGTGGGGGTGAATACAAAATACACCTGCTTGTAACCCAAAACAACATGCCATAAAGAAAACAAGCTGCTTGGCAATGGATGCATTTTAACTGAGAGTGTGCATGTGTTATGTTTCTTAGAGACATATCATTATTGAAGGCAGTTGTCTTCTGGCAAAGAGGTTTTAATGTGTTCAGAGATAACAGTACTGCCTGTAATAAAGGGCAAATCCAGCTGTAGGAAGAAGACAACAGTTTGGAGCTGAGTCATCAATTGAGCTGCATTCTGGTTTCCTAGATGGGAAGTGGGGTTAGGTTAATATAATTACCAGAACATATGAATTTATTGTGGAGGCTTGGCTATTGCGCTTTCCAAGTCTTGGTGTCTCAATGCTGCTAACAAGATCTTTTTTCGACTGTTACTGTCTTTAATTGGCCTGTTTCTGCATGAGTTATCTTTGCTTTCTGTCAGAAAAATAGTCTTCTTTTAGAGAGAGTTTGCCAAGGATTGCTGAGAACACCAAAATCTTTTGGACTGGGGGTTTTTTAGGTGGTTAGATTGAAGGGGTTTAGAAGTAAGGTCTTGACCTCATGAGTTTCTGTATGCTGCTTGGCAGATGCCTGTATTGGCTACCTTGCAGCTTAGATTCCTTCCTAATGTCAATGTTTCCTTTAATTTGAAATGTTAATGCTGCAGCTGCCAGCAGCAGTTGTGCCAGATTGTAGAGTACTTTGCCAGATAGGAAGGATTTTAGGGTTTTTATTTTTTATTTCTTTTTTACATTCCTGTAAAATTGTCTGTACAGGAAAGCTGGTCTGCAAATGGTCTGGAATATTAACTGTACAGCTGGGAAGCCTAAAACACCATCAGTGTCATTGTAACTTTAATCTTTGCTCAAGAAGCTGTTTCTGTGCTAACACAGGACAGGAGACAACTAATATTTTTTTCCTTACTGTGGAATAAGTAGGGATTTTTTTATTTTATTTTTGTTTGCTAGTGGATGTAGCTTTCACTTAACTGCATAAATTAGAAAAACAGGGAAAATAATGTAACTGATTATGACTGGAGCCCTCAGTATTCACAGGTCACTTCCTTGGCGTATTTCATGAAAAAACAGATCTCTGAATTTAGCCATGGGTGACCTTTATATAAATCCTCTCCCTTTTCTAAAGGAGGACTATCCCTGACCATTAATCATTCACTGCTGTTGTGAATCCTGCATGCTTTTCTGCTTCCTTGCCTTAATATGTGTGATCTTCCTACTCATGAGCTGGCTGCCTGACTGCTCTGGCAGGGCTGGGAGTTTTAAACCAGGCTTTCTGGATCGTGAGAAGGTGGAATTTGAGCTGGGGGCTCTCCAGGACCTCTCTAGATGAACAACAATAGTGCTTCCACTTTGTTTAGATTTGGGTCATTAAATAGCGAATTTTACACTGAACTGAAGGAGTAAGTTTGTTTTAGGAATTTCTTTGCTTGATTAGTTTATGTTTTTTTTTAATATCTGACTTTACCTTGCATCAGCCTCTCCTAAAACATACCAGTGAAAGATCCTAGTGCAACATGGACAACAATTAACGGTTCATTGTCTGTTTTTTAAAGTTTTTTAAAATTCAGCTGTTTCAGTGAATTTCTTGTCGCTGCTGCTGTGAAGATGCTTGTGCCTAAAGCCTTACAGCTTTATGCCTCCAGCTAAGGGCTTCTCATAAAAATATGTTTCAGAACACTGTTTAAAGTAATTAGTGTTCTCCCCTGCTCCTTTTCCTCACTTTTGGAGGACTTTATTCGAGTTGTGGTATAGACTGGCCATAGCTATGCACAGGATTTCTATGGTTTTGATTTTAGGAGCTAAAAATTTAAAATTTACAAACCATTATGCCCCCATATGCAAACTTAGAAAGCAAGGTCTTAGTTTCTATTGTGATCTTCTTAAAAATTCTTCTTTTCCCAACTAAGTGTATATTAATCAAGTATAGCTATAGTCAGCTTCTTCGGTACTATTTAGTCCCTTAGTAACCTAAATTGTGAAACTGTGTGTGCTCTACTCTTTCCTCCTGCATGATAACTTTCCTGAGTTTCTGTTTCCTTCTCTTTTTTAAACTTGCATTAGAATCTACGTTTTCCAGTGATTTTGAGTACTATGCTTGTTTCAGGTGTACATTTAGAGCTGCCACTTAAACCCTCTCAGCTTCCTGCGAATAAAATGCACTGTATACTTGGGAGGCCTGTTCCTCCATCATGTTATCTTCTCCCATCTGTAAAATGCACATGGTTCTTGCTCAGTTTTGTGAAGTGCTTTGAAATATGAAATGCTGTTCATTTGGTAAGCGTAGACAGTGTATACATGGGATTGCTTAACTTGTCATTTCAGGCTTGTTTAAAAATGTGCATGGTGCTGAGCAGGAAAGGGGTTTATTTGACAGTGTCATCATGTATGCATACTTTTGCATGCCTCCTTCTCTCAGTATTTACCTTCCAGCAATGCCTGTTTTCCTTGCCTTTTTGCACCAGTCTTCTTGTCTTTGCTTTACTTTTCCACCCTCTTCCTCATCCATACCTGTTTACTAATTGTGCCCCTCCCGCTCCACAATAATACAGGCCCTTTGATGCTGCCGACCGCTGTCATCGTGGTGGAAGCCCGTGGGACGCGTGGGCCCTGCCGAGGACCCGCGCTGCGGAGGGACAGTACACCGCTTTTGTCCATGAGCGCAATGTGAAGAATGCAGGAATGCATAGCGGTGCTGGGACCTATGCTGTCCAAACCACCATGACCAGTCTCTGAGACATGGGCCTTTCTGGAGCTTGAGACTGCTGTCTAGCACAGGCTGGGAAAATATGTTTTGAGCTGTTTCTAAGATAAGGACAACAGACCCAAGGCTGATCATAGAAGGGGGAAAAAACCTTTTATTACAAAGGCCCTTCGTGTTGTGCTGTTGGTATTTAGTCCTTAAAGAAAAAAGTAACATATAGACCAGAAACCACCCATCACTCTTAGATTGAAAAGAGCATATATCTTTTTAATTGTGCTAAGGTTTTTCTTAATCATGGAAAGAAAAATGTTTTATTTTTAGGTGTGTTTAATTTCGAGTGCCATGCAGGCAGTCAGATTCATAATAATGCTACGCGTGGAACTGGTAGGTTATAATGTGTTTCAAAAACATCTTAAGAGAGGTAGAGGATAGAACTGACCCTTCTTTTGAACCATGATTATTTAAAGATATCTAAGATAAATGGTTGATCTGAAAACTAACTTTTTATTTTATTTTATTTTTCTTTTTAGCAAGCCCTCTGCTAAAAAATATTCTTTGGAAATGGAATATAATTATTTTAATTTTTTAAGAATAAAATGATCAGAACTCCTGAAAAGGCAAAGAGTAATTTTTGGTGTTTTTTTTGGTTTCATCGTGTTTGTTTCTGGGTGTTGGTTTTTTTGCTTTCTACAAAATTTTCTTCCTTTTTTTCTTTTTCGTGCTGTGCTCCAGTTAAAGTGAAACCAAAATATTCCTGA